TGAACTGGAGCATCACTCTTTCCTATTGCCTCCTGGAGCAAGAGAAAGTGACAATGTAACCAATAACAAGTACATTAAACAGGAAAGGAATACTACTGTAACTGCCACAAACAGCACATACAATAAATTCGTCGGGGGTGGAATCAGAAAGCCAAGGTGGAAGTTGATGAGTTGGGAATTTATTATCGGCGCCATTCCTGACAATGTGTCCATCTGGGATAGCCTCATCATGCTCTACAGAGCCCTCTTCATCATGCCCATCAAGTGATGAACTGGAAAACCGAAAGAGGTTGAAGAACATAATATTCCTAATATGCCAAGGATGACTCAATAGGAGGTAAAGGATGCTACACCATACCCTTCATCAACAGAAGTTGTTTTATATGATCCATTCATGAGCCCGTTAACACCAAACTGGCTATCACCCTTCAGTGTCCGTGTTCTACGTGACAATGGCTGCGAACTAATTCGTGTAGCTGCAACAGCTGTTGTTGTTGGTACCTCATCATCTCTTTCATATATGCTCGATGCAACTAAACTGCAAAACAAATAAGCTCAAAAAGAGAAGCTCTTAATAACAGAACGTACTTCAGAGAAAATTGTACAGAAAAAGGAATTATGAGGCACACTTCCAATCATGTAACGGAACTAGGATGAGAAGCACCACAGTTTCTGAAATTTAAGTTGAAAAAAAATAGTGGAAAAGAATCCTACCTGTATTCACCTTTATTATATAGATGTGCATGTAAATCATCTAAAATTTTGAAGAAAAGGACTCCCCGCAGCTTAGTAAGCTCAGATCTGACATCTTGAAGAGCACCAACCTAGTCCGTAATACCAGAATATCAATGAGCACAACATTTGTATGAACGCTAGATAGCTCAAACAGAGATGAATTGAGATGTCCAGATAGTAATTGATCGAGAACATATCCCTTAAACATAACTATAACTACAATCTCAATGATGTTACCATGACAATACTTTTCTGAACACTTGTTTAATTGTAGGCCATAAAGAAGTTACCGTTTGAAGGCCCTCGCGCTCAAGCATCAGCGACGACTGAACATACACTTGAACAGCAGCATAGAACTGTTTTTCAGCAATGAGCTTCTCAATACGAGATGGAACCTGTTCAGTGTTCCAACAGACATAGGCATCATGTTGTTGTACCAGCAAATATGTTTTTCTTTGATAGCATATAGCACAAGCAACTAAGAAAAATTTTAGAAACACAATAACAAGATTACCATCAGATATAGTGTTGACCATAAATAAAGTATAATACTCCAAGCACCAAAGTAATATAAAAAGCACTGTACACAGAAATGATGCAGTAATCTTATGCGTAATGCAACCAACCTTAGCAATGCCCTCAATTTGATCTAAAAGTGAGATGATATGTCGCAGTGTAACAGACCGGTACCACAACTGATGTAATTGTTTATTGCGGGCACCTACGCTCATCTTTGCATCTGTCAAGTCGCGCTTCAACTCTGTTATCTTCTCAGCAGATTCGCTGAATAACCGTAATATCTGATTAGAAAAACAAAGGAACAGAGGCATAAATAAAATGTCAAGATCAAGGGTACCTCACAAATTATTTTCGTGATACAGAAAAATCCTAGGAAAATTATTGGTAAAGTTATTGGCAATTCAGCAAAAACTTTTCCATTTGTTACATTTAGACATCTAAAGCCATTTCCCTGTAATTTGTAACTATAGCTGGATTTAATCCTTGGAGAATAAGATCCATCATGAAATTCTGAAAACCAAAAGGAATGCTATCAACACAAAGCAAATCTAAGATGTAGCAAACCAATAGTTATAACAAAGCAACTGGAAAGTATTAATACTTGAAGAAAAGCTTCAAAAGTAAGACTATGAGGGGCGGAAAGAGTTAGCAGATATCAGAAACCTGGGAATAGTTTTGGATGGCCTTGTTGAAGCCACCGTGATAAGAATGCACAACTTCATCCACAACCTCCTCGACAACATCACTTTGCTCCTTTAAAACTTGAACTTCACCTTCACGATCTTTTGATGTTAGGATATGAACCACGTGAGGCAACGAGTCAAACCGTGCAGCGGCCCAACTCTCATCTATTCTTGCCAGCTCTTCCCTCAGGTACTGCAGATAACCACACACACAAACACACATTTATGCATAAAGGAATAAAAGGAACACAATCAGGAGAAATGATATACTTTGACGGTTTCCTATCTAGATCTTGTACCGCATCTTCCATCATTAACCCAAACTCCAAGCCAAAGAAGAGAGACTATGCTGCTGCCGAAGCAGCCACTCCTCTTCTAACTGACAATAAGGAAGGAACGAGAGGACCAAACATAACAAAAGAGAACTAGAGAAAGTTTGCAAACTTACTGCTTTATCTGGGGGAACAGGCAAACCGTCGAAAAAACCCATCAGAGCAACCTCACTCCAAATAGCTTGTTCGAGCTCAACGTGAATGCTCCTTCAGCAGATTCCAACTAAACCCCACGTAGCTGAAATCTAAATTTCAAAACCTGAAACGAGTTAAACGCACCTAAGCTAACTACAACGTTATCAAAACAGCCTTAGGCTAAATCCCGATAATACGCAGCTAAATCACCACAAAAACCAAGGAACAAACACTCAACCCCAAAACCATGGGGGATCAAAACAAAAGAATAGCGGATTTTCGAAGTCCATACGAATGAAGAACACACATTTCTAACATCACATTATCACTCTTCGAGACAACAATCAACGAGTAGCAGAGAGAAACCCATCGAATTACAAGAAACTTCTCTTGATTTCGCATCGTCGGCGAGACATTTGGCAGAAAACAGAGGATTAAGAAATCAAACACCTCGACATCTCGAAGTAGATCTAGAGAGAAATCGAGGGAGAAAACGGATTCGAGATGCGATCTTACCAGGGGAAAAGATCTCGTCCGAATCTGATCACTGCGTTCTCTGATCACGAAGCGAGGAAAAAAAAGTACGCCTTTTTTTGGGGAAAAACTCGCGAAGAAGAACGGAAAAATCTACGTGTTTATTCTCACCATGTTTTTGCTTCCCCGACTTTTCGTCACACAGTGATTACATTCTTTTTCGCTGTTTCTCAAATTATTTTCCTAATTTGCAATTTTATTAATATCAATAAAAAAAATGATATTTTAAATACGCTCTAAAAAAAACGAGAATAAAAAATATGAACATTTGAGGGGGCAACTTGTACAAGAACAAATCTTAGTGGTGGAATATATAAAACTACCAAAGTACATGGGGAAATACGGAAGTTGCTGCTACGTGTACGTACAGTACATAATCAAGGATAAGCTTAACCGAGTAGCCAAACATTCCTTTTCTTGCTTCCTCTCCTCTTCCCATAAGATTTACCCTCTCCTGCAATTTTCCCGCGAACCGCTGAGCGACACCCTCTTCTCCTCCTTCCGCAAGATCGCTCGCGTCACCTTCCTCAAGCACTGTCAACGCGCCGGTCTCGTGGTGTCGCGTTTGCCCTTTACGTCTGCCGAGACGACGCGCTCAACACGGCTCGATCCATGGACGGAAGACCCTCAATGGCTGGAAACCGACGGTATCGATCGCGGTAGACAATTGCCGAGCTCCAGAGTTCATAAAGAAGAGAGTGTACAAGGACAAGTCGAGGTGCTACGAGTGTGGGGACGAGGATCATCTCTCGTACGAGTGCCCTAGAAATCAATTGGGTCCGGGAAAGAGACCTCCGCCGCCGAAGAGGTGGGGACGGCAGAAGGAGGCGGAGGAAGCGGCGGAGATATTCGAGGAGTAGAATTGGGCATTGGTGGTGGGTAATGAAGAGGCAGAGGAAGGAAGAGGAAGAGAAGATGAATAAGAAAAAGAGAAAGGAAGCTGCTGTGAAGAAAGCTAGCTACTTTAGTGATGAGAACGATGACGGAGACTGAAACTATTTTCAGGTATATGAAATTCGAGGAATTCGAATCGGAGATGAACATATGGCATTAAGTCTCTTGAGCTTACTCAATTCCCCGAGACTTTCCAGATGCTGGGTTTGATCCAACTGGAAGAAGTTAGATCTTTTGGTATGTAGTTTCTGTGTTCTATTGTGTATTGATCATTGGGTCAATGCATGCGTCTTTGTGGCGTTTGCATCTGGATTCAGGACTTCCGATTTCATCTTTTCTGGTTTCAGTGTCTAGCCCTGATGATTCATCTGGCGACTAACTTTACTCATCTTCTTCATAATCCCAGACACAAGGCTTCAAACAAATCAAGGTTCATATGGCAGTTTTGGAAGAACTTTTCCTCAATGCTATTCCTCGGCTGAAGACATAAATAGATAAAAGTCTCAGCTTGTGACTCAAGGATTACACTTTGTGAATTTGTCCTGTTGTGCCCCTCGTCGAAGTTCAGCTGGAAGCGCCCCCGGTCTGCATAGAAAAGCATTTCAGGGTTTATATGTATCGAAAAACTGTAGCTGAAACGGCATGGACGAGATTTCAATCTCACTGACCAGCATCTCATGATCTCCCATGATTTCTTCTATCAGTTCCTGGATGAGTTTATCAGCGCTGTTTGGAACAAGTGCCGCAAATACTGCTGGCTCGAGCCCTGCAGTTAATCGCCAGTCAAAACCCCGGTTTCGATTCAGCATAACTCTGATAATCCACCAGCAAGCATACCTTTTGGGATTGAGTTTGTTCAATACCTGTATCCGGGAACGCATCAATGAACATCATCGTCTCCTCCCCGCTCAGACCAGATAAGAAGCAGATCCGTGGCTGAGACTTCGCCATCTGCATTGCATTTGACACAGAACAAGAAGTGATGTGCAATGTAATGCATGTACGGTAAGCTCCACTCATGACATGCTGAAACTGCAGAGGTTTTTGGTAAGGCCCTTCAAACCTGAACTCGTCTGAGGTCAGGCTGTCTAGTGTTGACAGCTTCCCATAACGACCGTGTGATCATTTCCTCAGTGCATAATATAATCTGGAGTTTCAACCACACAGACGTTAAATTGGAATTCTTTGTTGCAGGAGTTAGATATGAATAGGGGATATGTACCTGCATGAATTCGCCATCGAGCTCCGTGAGAAGCTGCTGTATCTTGAGAGCTTCATCAAGTTGAAAACCCAGTAACAGCAGAGCCTGCAGAGAAAAAAAAGTGGGTGTGTATGAGTATGATGGCAAAGTAGAAAGGGAAGGGAGAGAGTGAAGAGGGAGAGGAGATTACAGGAGGGCCGAATTGGGGATCTTCTGCGTTGAGGGGAACGAATTTGGACTCTTCCTCGTCTGTTTCGCTGGGGATTCCTTGTGATGGATCTTTAACGCAGAGTCTGAGCTTCTTCGTGCAGTGGGTTTTGTTCTTTACCCACAGAGAAGAAGAGGAAGAAGAAGAAAAAGAAGAAGAGGACAAAGGGCGAGTAGTGATGTCGGAGCTCAGACAAGTACGCGACATGGCCATCGAGCTCTTACAGATGGAGCTCATGCCGGATAAGGCCAACGAAGAACCCGCCATTGCCCCTCTCTCTCTCTGTCTCTCTCTCTCTCTCTCTCTCTCTCAGTTCTTCGAGATAAAACATATGCTCGCTCAGCTGAAGCAGCCAGTCATGTTTTGCCACGTGGTGTATCATTGGCCTGGGGCCTTTAAAATTAAATCAATGAAAAATCAACAAGGGCTCAGACAAGGCCCATAAGCAATTTACGTTTGGTCCATTTGACCCAAACCCTAAGGTTGTCTTCTTTCATTAAATGTCCTTTTCCATTTAATTAAAACGAAGAAGAGAACAACGATAAACGCAAATAACAAAAATCGATAAAAAAAAAAAAAAAAAAAAAAAATGTTTTGTATCCATAAGAATTTCACATTTGGAGAGGTAACATACGAACTTCCTTAGACCCCATTTTCTTCTAATGGGTGATTCCTTCTCTTTTATTTTTCTTTTCTTTGGGGAAAAAAAGTTAAAAGGGTATTCTAATTTATAAGTTTGTTGCTTTTATTATAAATTAATGATAAAGTTTTTCTTGTGAGCTTGGATGCAATAATTCCCATTGATTACGACAAAACGTGCATGTTTTGTCTTAAATCTTTACTGTTATATTCTATTTCCCTCCGACAAAACCATGTTAAAACTAGTTATCATTATTACGTGGGAAAATAACACCTTAAACTATATATATATATATATATATATATATATATAAAGACTTTTAGAAACGATGGCTTCAACATTAATTAATTAATTAATTAAAAAGAAGAGAACAAACTTGAAATGGACTTGGCACCTAAATGGCCGCCACCACTCCTATCCCTCACCTTCCAAATCTTTCTTCTTCTTTTCTATTTTAATTTCCTGTCTTTTCTTCCATAAAATTCGACTCTTCGATATTGGTAAGAAGCATATTCCTCCAACTGTGAACATGGACCAAAAGCTGCTACCCATCAAACAAAGATACATTCTACAACTTGAAGATGTGTGTATGTGTGTATATATATATATGTATTATATATAGAGACTCTATATTCTCTTCGCTTTTTTGTCGGGTTCCTTTGTACCCACTTGAGCAAGATTGAAATCATCATCTTGCTTGGTGTAAAACATACAAAACTATGACAGTAATAATAAGATTCGATAACAAGTGGTTTGAACTCGAAGTATGTCGTGACGATGCACCGATCCCGAAAATCATCGAGAAAGGATCGCTGTCGCTGTCTCCGCCGCCACCGCCGCCACCGAGACCGCCTTTGCTGCGTCCGGTGGTTGGGGT